CGCCCTGAGTCCCCTCAGGGAAAAGGGCGGCCTATAAATACTAATAAAATCACTAAAAAAATCAATACTAGAAAAGTTTAGCACTGTTAAACAGATTAGAACGATGTAATGGAATGATGTTGTATGTATGATTTCAATATTTAGAATATTTTGTTTAAATTGTAGGAATAATAATTGGAGTTGAACTATTGATGCAAAATGATGCTGTATGTATGGATTCAATATTTAGAATATTTGTTTAAAATTAAGGAATAATAATTACAGTTGAAAAATTGACATATAACAATAATGTACTTATGTTTACCTAATGAACAATTTGTGATTCGATATATAATTGTGTGGTGACCATGGAAAGGATGCACAAAATCTTGTAACCAAATGACATGCTATATGAAATGGAAGAAGGTTGTATGTGTTTTATGTTTTTGTTTGTTTTTGTTTGTTTAAAAATAAAATAAAAAAAGAATAGGCCACGCCCACAGAATAGGTATTAAAAAAATTGAAATCCACCCCTCTGCTCTAGGTTTGTTCATATGTTGTCTACTTTTCCAAGAACAAATGTAGATCTCATTGAATGTAGAAGTAGAGAAAAATTATAAAAATATTTAAAAAGAATCCAGTTAAACTTAGTTCTTGAAAAATTTAAAATTTAAACTTAGTCACTTGAAGAACTACTCTCCAAATTTCATGAAATAAACAAAAGCTAATTATCCAAAATTATCAATGTTTATGGAAGAAACAACTATAAAGCTAAAGGTGAAGTTGCTTTTATATTGATCCTTCATATTAACAATGGGCAAATCCAAGCACATAGAGGCTTTTATTTCAATTAAAAAAAGAATGAAATTTATATCAAAAGGAACTGGCCTTCTGGAAAAGCCTTGAAACCTGATTCTGAGGGTTAGCTTGGCAGCCTGATGGGGGATTATGTTGGAGGTTGTTGGTGGTTTAACAGAAAAGATGCCACCACTGTACCAATCTTGTTTTTGGGGTGATCTCTGTACACAATATTTTTATATTAAATATTAAACCATATTAATTATGGTTTTAATTATAAGACAACCAGAGTTGCTTTGCAGAGTGAGATAGGTAACATTTACTGCATATTTAATAAATAATAATAAAATAAAAAATCTTTACTGATAAGAATCACAATATTTTAGGCTTGAAACATCCAGACAATTACATAAAATTCTGTCAGAGTTTGTTGCATAAATTCAAATCCAGAAAGCACACACAGAGATAACTGATTCAGCTGGATTCATTAACTTCTTTATATACATAAGAATAGATGAATAAATGTACAATACCAACATGTGGTTCTTCCAAGTAAACACAAGCAGGAGTGTTACAGGCAAACACAAGCAGCTAGTTTCATTTCAGCAGACAAACCCAGACAGTCTGCCCTTTTTTACTTCTCAGAGCAGCAAACTGCTAAGTTTCTGTTTCAATTCTCTGCACAGACTCAGATCTGTTTAAGCTCCCACTGGCTGACTTAGTTGCTACGCCGATTGATTGGCTGACCTTGTTCTCATGTCTCTCCCAGTCATTAATATTTTAACAAATTCTATCTCCTAGCTGCCATCTACTTGGTTGTCCTCATTTGCAACATAGATGTGTAAGCTCTAATTAATGCAGGCCTTGAAGAAGGAAAGAAAATCTGTTTTTATTTCAATACCCAGGCCATTTTCCAGGATCTGTATTACCAACAAACAGGATTGTTAAAAGTTAGATAATATTGTTAAAAATAGATAATATTGCCTGCTGTCTCTCACAAATACTAAGTGTCTTTTTCACACATGGACATAGAAACCATAGAGGTACACAGGTTTTCTCTTTATGCTTAGAAAAAGAAAGATACAAAAAATGTGTAGTTCTATATGTCTAATCATTTCCTCAATATAAAATCTGGGAAACATGTTTTCAAACATGGACAGAGCCTTTCTTTACTGTTCACAAATCAGAAAATTAGAACTCCAGGCAAAGCTACACCAAATAAATCCACTTTTCATACTTGATTTAAATTTTTCAGTTCCTGTATAACTTGTGTTCTGAACAATAAATTCATTGGCAATTGAAAAAGAAAACATTGACAATGCTACTTAGTTTCTAGAGGCTTCTTTTTTAAAAGCAATGAAATGCATAATATGTTACGCATATTATGATCTAATCTAGTATTTAATGTAACAACCTTGTACCAACCCCCCCCCACTCAATGATCAATATATAACATATAAGAGTGAATAATTCTTGATTACATAGCTACAAACCTGAGGCTATATAATACTGTGCCATCTGGATGAAGGCGAATCATTCGATTCTTAACAGTAACACCGTGCACAAACGATTTCTTGTCATTCAGAAAGTAAGTATCAGGCACCCATAGTTGATCTGCTACTCTGTTATCGAGTGTAAGATTGAGAGGAATCCCAGCATAGGCTAGTCTTTTATCTCGCCAGTATTGTTGAAAATACATTGTTAGTGTGTAATCCTGGTGGAAAGAAGAAGAAAAACTGAAGTTAAGCCTTGGTTATCTAGAACCAACTTTAATATAATCTTAGAGTTAGTTAGATTGTTCCAAATAAAAAGTTAATACTGTATACATTTCAAGATGCATACCATTTTTCTTCCTAAAAGCCTCTTTGCCTAGTATTGTATAACCTTCAATGAAACATCTCTGGATTGAAATAACACACAAGCAAAAGCTGTACTAATGTTGCTGAAGCATTTTGTTTTTAGATTTTTCATAACCAAAAGAAGAAGAAACAACTTCACCAAAATATGCCCAATACTTTAGAAGAAAACCTATCTTTCATAGAAAGTAAATGCCATTACTGTTCAGAGCTACAACAGTTATATTTTACTTTCAGTGCTCATGAATAGTTTCTATTAGACACATCATCAAAAGGACAATATGCCCCCTGGTGTTTTCTGCAATTTTCTGCAATTTTCTGATGTGGAAGTTAGGAATAAATGCACTCTTTACTAGTGATGTCTTAATTAAAGCTTGGTTTTAGTAGTAATAAAACTGGAAAGTATTTTTATTGACTTGTAATAAGTGACTAAAAAATATATATATAT